ATGCCACCTGGAGAGGTGTGTGCAGTGACATGCATACAGCCAGCTGGCTGCAGAGCCAACCTCTCTCTTTTCCTCCCTTAACGTGGCGGATCCAACAAAGCTGAATGGAGCAAAGTTTACTGGAGAAACTGTGAGTTGCAATTATGCTTTACAGAAGCATCTAAACCATATAGTAAAGCGTATTTGAAAGAGAAAGTACCTCAGAAGTGAATCCAAACCAATTATTACTACAACCACGTTTTTAAAAAGAATTTAATCAGATCAAAATTAAACTTGTGGCCAACTGATGTGCTTTTCTTCTGTGTGTGCTCACTAAGATAAAAATCACAAGTGGCTCATGTCTTGGGAAACAGAAGAGCTGCTTCCCTCGTGAGGGTTCAAACCGTCAATCCTCCTCCTGAAGCAGTTACATTTTGCAAAAATACCTGAATGTTTAGCAGATCAGGACCTGAAATATCGTTGCTTCTCCCCAGCACACATCCCAGCTACTTGTCAAACAGCACGAACCCTGACTCTCTCTCTCTGCCTCCAGCCATGCTTTATACAACATGAAATACCTTCATCAGGAGCGACTCAAACCAGCACGTACCACACTATGCTGCTGTCCAGGGATCAGCACGAGAGGTGGGAAAGTAGAGGGCAAAATCCATGCTCCAAAATGGCTAGAGGTGCTCTGCGGTAAGGTCACCTGAAAGAGAGCTTGCCGCCTCTGACAGCCACTCTCCTTGCAACCAGCTCTCCCCCGGCACCTGCCTGCTTCCCCTTCCTCCTCCTTCTGCTTACCTGGCTCCGGTCCTTGCCAGACTTCTGCACCTGCCAGTTCAACTCACTGAGTTTGCAGGAGGTGGGAAAAAACCATCTAAAGTTTTGTCCTTAATTAGCTTCATCAAGAGCTCCAGCAAGTGCTGCTGCCAGCACAGGGGTGGGAGGACGCTATGGGGCTGGAAGGAAGGGCTAAGGCGGTGCAGGGGAGGAAGAGGAGGAGGAGAGGCAAGCCTCACCCTTGTCAGCAGCACCCAAGCTTTCCTCACCACTGCTGGGACCACACCTCTAGAAAGATGGGCCAGACAGGAACCTAGACCCCATACAGAAGGTAACTGTCCTACCCCAAAGATAAGGAGTACAACGGGGAGTGAAGGAACAGTATGTCCCTCTTTTTTTTCTTTAATTTTGTTTTTTTAAATGGTTTCCTTCTCATTTAGCTCGCTAACCCTCCCAGACAAAAGTGTTTCTTCATGGAAACTTGTTAAAGCATATCCAAACTGCCATCCCCCACTTTTTTCTTTCCTTTTTTTTTTTTTTAATCACAGAGATCTATTTACAAATTAGGGTTCATTTCAACAGTGTCAGCTAAGCAGAAATGACAGCTTTTTTGGCAAAAACCCACTCGCTGGGGAAAAAAAACCTGCCCAACTCTGACAGTAACTCGCATACTGCAATGAGTTTTCACACCTACTAATGCTTCTACCTCCTGCCTCAGCACTCTATAGATATACCATTAACCCACACAGCGTTGCCCTAAATATACAGTTTTCAATTCTCATGCCTTCTCTGTTGTTTATTCCTCAAATATCCATGCCATCTTAAAATGAGGCATTTTTTTCCTCCATAGTTGTAAAAATCCCAGTCCAATTCCCTCATTTTTTAATTCTACACAAATATTTGTTTAATATCCTTAGAACTGGACCTTGGAACAAATTTAGTTGCTCTGTTGTTTGGTTTTCCACATTTATGAGTGCATTTTTTAAAAGTATTTCATCTCATTTCTTTTCCAGGATAAGCTAGTGCCAAGTGGCTAAGCAGCAAACACACAGTATTGCCACGTGGGAGATCAAATGATATGACCACAGCAGGTCCAAAATACAGCTACAAGGGTATAGCAACCTCTTGGAGAAAATTAATCACTCTCACAGAAAATTCCCTGGGACTGATTTTTAGGAGTGGCAGAGTTAGCGGCTTTGGAGAAAGTCAATCACTTCCTTTCTGTATGCTAAAGGCTGCCAAAGTTTGCCATGAGGTATAATTGGGTATCCTCAACATAGCAGAATACATAGGAAAAGGCATTCATCAGAGTTATGCTAAGCAGTTACAAAACTGTAAACAAATGTGGTCCAACTATTACCACTCAAGTTACAGGAAGCCAGTGTTTTAAAGTAAATTCTGTTTTGCTTTCGCCTGGTGGTTGTCACCAAGCACCAGGCAGGGTATTACTGCGTGAGTCAGTGCTGAAAATTTCCATTTTCCAAGCACTTTGTTAACTTTAGCTCATTAATCCTCATAGTACTCTAGAAAGATAAATAGAATTAGTTTATTTTTAAAAACAGGGAGGCAACAGCAGAACCCTTAAGGTTTTTAACTCCAGGTATGTACCTTGAGCCAAATTGTGCTTGATTTTTGAAAGAGGTCTCCCTCCGCTGGCACTAACTGACTTGCAAAGGCACTGCCTTGCAAGAACAGACTCAATATGGACAAGCAAATGTCACATTATTTTTGAAGACTGTGGTCTTAAGAGTGACTCACCAAAGGAGACAGAACTGTATTAAACACTGGATGTGAATTTAAGAGTCTCTGGCCTCCAATTCCCTGCTCAGATCATTCAATACCCCCTCTTCTAAAATCTTATTCAATTCCTGAGTGAGTAACAGGACATAGAACAGTTAAACCCTTTACGATTATCTATTAATTCAAAGTAATGCCATTTTCTTCTGTTTCCATTTGAACCTGATCAGGTGATCAGACACTAAGCACTGAATTCAATAAACATTAAAGTCTTTCTCATGAAGCTTAACTTAGAACTATTTATTCCCTTTCAGAATAAAATAAATCTTCCTTAGCTGCTTTTAAGCAGAAAAGCAAATATACTATGTCCCTTTATCCACTAGTGCTTACAGTATAATACATACTCCAGTAATTTCCTATTATAATGGAATATTTGCACAGGTTGCAAATTTATCCCAGAGGAATGAGGACTCTAGTGAACGGACACATACATTTATTATACTGAATACTCCAGGTAATGCTGGCCTACGATATCAAGCCAACAAGCTAAATGATAGCCCTGGTATAATTATGTAATTAATTAGCTCTATCATAATTTTTGGTTTATGACACTAAATTTTATATGCCACTAGTCAATTTAATGGCATTTTAAATGGAAATAAGGCCCCTGAGAGAGATGCTACTTACTGTATCACAAATCTTGTATTCAGACTTTTTTTAATGTCAAAAGATGACCTAATAAAATTGCTTTATAATTAAATTCATTCTAACAATTTCTCCTATATGATTCTTCTTCTTCTCCCATTTTTAATTACGAAAAAAATTCCAATCAGAAAACACTTGCCACCGTAATTATATACAAATATCAGAGATCCCTTTTCGTACCTCCTGCTGCTCTCCTCACACAGCAGTGCACCCTGGTTAGCTTTCCTGCAGAATTTTACTAGCATCTCCCAGAGGTGCAGGGAGGAAACTACACCTTTTACACTCAAGAAACTACAGTTCAATTTGCTTCTATCTTGTTTGAAAAATAGTTAAGGCGTGGGAACGAAAGGGAGCAAATCCCCCACGTATTTTCTATTTCAGACAGGCATTTATAAGTATGCTGGTATCACAAGATATGTTTCTCATGTGAAGTAAGATCAGCTAAAGGAAGGGAAGGGTGACCATGGCTCTCGTCCACCCAACGTGGCAGTGCCCCTCTACGTGCCACCTCCTATTTCCAGCTACAAAGGCAACCCAGTAGTGAGGACTGGCACCTTCCTCGGGGCTGGGGGACCGTGGTGTCATCCAGGAGCAGTCCTTACCATGTAGGCTCTTGGCACCTTCCCTGCCTGGTGTTCCAGGCAGGGTGTGAGGTGCTGGGGTGTGTCCAGAGAAGGGCAAGGAAAGTGGTGAAGGGTCTGGAGCACAAGTCTGGTGGGGAGCGGCTGAGGGAGCTGGGGGTGTTTGGTCTGGAAAGGAGGAGGTTGAGGGGAGACCTGATCGCTCTCTACAACGACCTGAAAGGAGGTTGTAGCCAGGTGGGGGTCGGTCTCTTCTCCCAAGTAACAAGCGATAGGACAAGAGGAAAGGGCCTCAAGTTGTGCCAGGGGAGGTTTAGATTGGATATTAGGAAGAATTTCTTCACCAAAAAGGTTGTCAAGCACTGGAACAGGCTGCCGAGGGAAGTGGTGGAGTCCCCATCCCTGGAGGTATTTAAAAGACGTGTAGATGTGGTGCTTAGGGACATGGTTTAGTGGTGGGCTTGGCCATGCTAGGTTTATGGTTCGACTTGATGATCTTAAAGGTCCTTTCCAACCTAAACAATTTTATGATTCTAGGATTCCTCATAAGGAAACCCACCAGGATCTCACCCTGACACAGCACTGTTAGGGTATGTCTTCCACTCGATGCTTAATGCAGCGGTATTACATCGAGTAAGAAATATAAGGAGGTAGTAGCAGAACAATCTTACAAAAGCTGTTTTCATAGGCTTTCTTCTACACAGTAAGCAGCTGTATCCAACTGGAACCAGATAATACCATTGGGTGGGAGCAGAGCTAAATGACTCCTTTCTGAGGTGATGATGATTATTGCATTTAAGGTATCCTTAACATATGCGGTACTTTACCACAGGTAAAGCATGGTAAACACAGAACAATACTTCTGTCTCTGAAAGCCATCACGTCATTTCAACCACAGATGCCTGGGAAATGGATGTATTACAGGTACTGGAGATGACACAGAACAGTTAACAGAGTGCTCGGTAAAACTGGATCGTGCAGCCAAACAGATTAAAAGAGTATTATTTCCCTGCAGAAATTGTCATATTCTGTCTCATTTCTACTTTCTAGAAAACAATAAAATAACAGACAGATATGAAGCATAAATGGAACTTAAACAATTTGCACTTGGGTTTCTCACTAAGGCAAGCACACAATTTTAAAGATAAATGAGTTTTTAAAAACAGCGATATTGGAAGGGAGGTAAAAGTAATGGAATTATTGTCAACCTCTTACCATTTGCTGTGTTCTTTTTGAAGTTATCTAGAAACTCTTCCAGGAGCTGTGACTGGTTTGGAGGGGGCAACAAACTTTTTGAGTCCCTGGAAATGTCGCCATCTGACCAGGATGCACAAAAGGGTTGCTGGGTCCCATAATGGTTCATTCTCAGACTGAGCATCAAGCTTCTCTCCGAAAACACTAACTCCATCTGCTTGAGGTCAAGATCAGGCACAGCCTCTCCATTTATGCTCAGGATTTCATTGCCTACTCGGAGCCCTGGCAACATGTGAAAGGAAAGAAGAAGGGAAAAATAAAAGAGGGAATATAAATGTAAAGGGTCACAAACCAAACCTTATGCTCATTCACCTTTTATTTTTGTGGGTTTAATTCAAATAGCCTAATCCTACCACAAGTCCATTAGAATCGATGGGAGCTTTATTTGTGCTGTAATTATACAGATCGACCTCATGCTTACTTTGATAGGTGTTACACATAGTACAGCAACTGAGTTGTTTCTTTCTAAAGATGCTACAGAATTTGGTGGGCGGGAGGGCAGCACAACTTTCAGGGAGATTAGAATAGAGGCACCTCTCACGACTCGGATACCACCACTGTACAGCACCATAACACATATTTCATTATCTAGGAAGAACAAGGCACTAGTCACGCAGATCAAATCATTCATGCAAAACTGGAACAACAGCGGATGGAGCCTTTATCAGCTTTTGTATAAATCTGAACAGTGGCAACCACTGCCTTTCAAGGTCAGCAACAACCAAGTGGTCATTACCCTCAGGTAGCAAATGAAACTCTCTGTCTACATTTTTCTGGGTTTGTCTCTCTGTTTTTCAGAGAGCAGAACTCATGTGATCCTGCTGTGTTGATGAAGAGAAGCTCGGTTTCTGAGCAGCACAGTAGAGAAGGTGCTCAGAGAAATACATGCTGAAAACTATTTTGGGGAGGGAGGCTACTTTTCATTGCCAGCAAAAGTGGAAGTGAAGGGTCTTGGAGAGTGACTAAGTCCATGAGGTTCCCCACTGTGAGATGAACTCTTTCTCTGGCCTGTTCCTCTGTGCAAAAGCACTCGGTCAGACAGCTGAATGCAAACTTTGTCTCCAAGGGTGAACAAGAACTCTCCCCACTATATCGAAAGGATAATTCAGTCACTCTGCGTGCACTATCTTTCCTAATACCACATACTTTCCATGGTCTTCAGGAAAGAAAACTATGAATAGCAAAAGCCAAGAACCATTACAGACAGCAGTACTCCTTCATGTTCTGGGACTTTAAAAAAGATAATGAAGTACAGTATTAAACATAAATACAATGCAATACCTTCCTTGTATGCCAGTCCATCAGGGAGAACATCACTTACAAATATATGTGTGAGATGCTGATTTTCATCAACTTGTGCTGTGACGGCAAAGCCTGAAGTAAAAGAGGTTTAAATCAAATAAATTTTCACAGAAACATTTCTCTTTTATTTTGCATATTTAGTAGACTGCACACAATCAGAGGGAGGATATTTCCCATGAGAACACACCCATGGAGCACAGAAAAATTATCAGATTACTTCTCAGTCATTGTAAGGCCTGTTAAAGTTAATAGGACTTTTCAACTTCCAGGAAATGTCATGCTGTGCTGTAAAAAAAAACCAACATTTCAAAAAAATATTTTCTACCTCAGCCCCATATGACATTTCAATAACACATCTCATCGTTACGGTAAGAGTTCTGCAGTGTGACCATCAGACATAGAGGTGTCTTAAAACAGATCCAAAAACTGGAAACCCAAACTATAAAGCAGCAAATCCACATAGACCAGTGAGTGAGACAGCCCAGCAAGGAGTAATTTATACCGACAGACTTGCAGCTAAAAATCAGCACAGAGCTGCCTTACAAAGGTATCTTTGTAAGGTATATAATTATTGCTAGGCATAACCACCTCCCACAGATAAAAAGCCTGTCAGAATTTGTACCAAAGGACATTCTGTTGATATTGTGCCAACAGAGGATCCCATTACCAAAAAAGAGAAGGGCAGACCTTGACCATGGCCTGACTGAGAGCAACTGTATTAAACCTGGCGAAGGACATTTGTCTTCCGACAATTCCACCCTTGAATTATTTGGCCAGTACGGCAGAATTAAAAAGTGGACCCATCCCAAACATAAGAAATGAGCTTGCCAGTGTGAAACAACCAGTTTGGGTCTTTCTTGCAATGCCTCCAGTCCTTTGCAGACTCAGACTTTGAGCTACTAAGGATCACTCTCCTGCTCTCAGAGACAGAAAAGTCCTGAAGAGAGAAAGTAAGCAATGAGAAGAATAAAAATAAAAATTCCTGGGAGCTTACCAAAATCACTTATGTTTTCAGTCTTTGTAAGATGAACGTGATAAACATTTAATGGACAAATTTCTATTTCATCATACACCTGTTGGAAAAAAACAGTAACAGAACTCGTTAAATTATGAAATTGCAAGCATCAAAACCCAAAGGTACAGCACAAGAAATAAGGACAATATTCTTTGCATTAAGAAAGCATCAAAACTTGCTCTCTTTACATACAGAACTGTGTTACTGTGCAAGTGTCACCGGTATCAGTGGGACTAAATGCAGAGTAAGCTAAAGATAGAAAACCCAGCCTGGAGTAGAGACCAACACTTTGCTTTTGTACCAGAAGCCCCGCTTAAATCTTCAAAAGGTTCTTGAAGAGAGTGTTTGCAGTGCCCAGCCACCCAAACATCCGCATAGACATGGACTGTGCGAATGAGGACAGCACAATGCAATCCAGGAACAGCTTTAAAACCCTACTTTAGGTCTAAATCACACATATTGGTAGGTGACAATTCAACTGTAGCTACAGACATCATGGAGCTTTATCTAAAAGGAGTAACACTTTCCTGGTCTACTATGTATTCGTATGGTTCAGGAGTACAATACTCAGTATTTTCATCAACGAGTCTTCTCAGTTGAAGGCCATAGTGTCTTGGCTCCAGTTGTCTCATCTAAGGAATAAAGAGAATGGGGTTTGGAATTTGTTATTTATTTCCAGATTCCCAGAAGACAAAGAAGCGACACACACACATACAAAAAGCTCTTTAGAAATCATGCAAAAAGCAATCCTCAACAAGGCATTTTCTAACTATTTTTGTGGTATAAACAAAACTAGCTGCATTGCTTAGAAGATAAGGTTCAAGTGCAATTTCCATTTTCCCTTACGATCCTCCCAAATCCTTTCATAACCACTATGTCTTGGCTATTAGATTAACTGAGCACTGTTATATGTTTCCAAAGATATCACAACTGTTTTCTGTCCTTTCGAACTTATACTCACAACCATCTTTTTCTGCGACTACCTTTAACGACTCAGTTCTGCTCAGTAAGTTTTTCTCCTGATGTAGAAAATATATATGCAAGTATGGGCTGTTAGAGAGGATGCGAAGCGGGTTCCCTAAGGGTTTGCCTTTATCAGATTTTATTTTTATTGCTGGATTTCATTTACGATCAGAGAGTTTCACCTATTTTTTTTCACCACGTGAGGTCAAAGCAAAAATCCTGTCTCAACAGAAAGTCAAAGGCAAGTATGAATATTCCCAAAGGATATTAGCCTGAAAGTGTCGAGCCCCTGATGGGAGTCTCTCTGAAAGTCAGGATGCTGGTCAAACCACTGCACAAAACATTTCATTTTAACATACTAATAGAGTAAAATTTCTAAAATAAGAGGAAGAAACATTTGTAAAAAATGAGGAATCACTGCATCCCTGAGCATTATTTAACTTCTTGAAGGCCTCTCTGCAACTTCCAAAATCTAAATCTACCAAGCAACTAGTAATACTTTACAGTTTATGAGTTGCATCTGTTCTGTATCCTGAACAATTGTATTCAAATGAACATTTTTTTCTATACGTGCTATCCAAAAGCCTCAGATGGAAAACAGAAATGAGAGAAGTATAAACCCCATAAAGTATGAATGAAGGTTAAAAAAATCAACAACCCCTTTGAACTTTATCCTTCTAGACATAACATTCAAACACGTCCTGTTAAGAAGAAAGATTCCTTACACTCACCAGAGCAGCATGAAAATGTAAGAAGGAAAAGAACCAGGACAGATGAGCAGAAAGTATTCAGCATTAGAGAATGCTTATGAAAAGCTTTACACACAGAATAGAAAGAAAAAATAAAACAGAAAAACGTTTAAGAAAAAAATCAAATAATGTAAAACTACATTTTCATGCGATACAGACAATGAAAATTAAAAGTCAGCTTTACAATTACAAATATCTTGGGAATGATGGAATAAGAGAGGTAAGGAACTTCCTTTTCAACTTAATTTTACGTTTACAAATTTTATTTCCTCTTTCAGGGGTCTTGCATGTCACTGTAACCACTTCCAAATGTTTCAGTTCTGCCGTGCCATCTGGTGGTCACAGAATGGCTCAGACAATCCCTTGAGCCTGACTACGTACACTGAATTTTTCAAAAGTAAAGCCAGGCATTAAACTGTTTCTCCAGGATTCAGCCTTCACCAGCAAAAGCAATGAGAAGATAATTTCTTCTCCGTGATGCCATGGAGAAGAACTCGTATAATTTAATAATTTTTTGTTTGTTTGTTTACAACATTACCAGGTGCAAAGAGCCATTAAATTGGGTCCTTTTCTCCATTAGAAGCCTCAAAATTCATGAACTTCAAGCCAGTTGAAAGAGCTCACCTGAAAGTTCACACTAACCTATGCCAAAAGCTACAGATGGATTTTGTACAGAGTAGCACTCCTTTTTTTTGTCCTGTTTTTTCCTCTTTACTTGTAAAGTAAATAAACTATATTTACCAGTTGTCAGAAAACAGAACTTGGGAGTAAAAAGCTAGATTTTCCAAAAAGCTTGTTTGCATAATTTAAGTGACTTGAATCATGAAGTTAGAGCTAAATTCATGCACTGACACATGGGAAAACAAAGGTGCTAGGTATGTTGCGATATTCTTGAGGTGTTGGTCTTTCGTCTGTAGTTAAAACTGGTATTTCTACTTTACCTTCAACCTGTGACTAAGTTTTCTGTCCCAAGATCTATAGCAATCCTTCTCAAATTGCTGGCACTGACTTTCAGAAGGGAATGCACTCTTTGCAATTCACAAGTAGAGCTGGTATTTAACTAAAAGCTTAAAAGGGTCCTTTAAGAAGCAAACATACATGATAGCCTTTGTCACAGCAGTCTTAAATGTCTTCATCTCCTGGTATTAACTCAACCAGTCCGTGTTACTCCTCTGTGATTAATTTGCGGAGAACAACTGGGTTCTCTGCAATGACAACATAGAGTGGGCACGTGCTCAGATTCCTCAGGGGTTGAGTACCTGGCAAACCGTCACTGCTCTTTAAGTATTCACTGTGCATTGTGTCAAGCAACACTTCTTGAAAACCTTTCCATAACCCTGCTACCTTGGCTACAACACATAAATAACACAGGAAACAGAGCAATGTGCCTTAAAACAGTGACAGGGAGATGCTGGAATTATGCTCTCACTATTTAGGCATCCTCTGATGTATTAATGGTCCTTCTCAAGTCCACAGCTATTAACAAGATGCAATCATGCACAAAATATTAGTACCTTGCACGCCAAAGATAAAACATCTTCCACCCTGTGCTCTGGCTTGAGGGTCAGTGCCACGCCTTGGCCGTCACAGAAGTGAACGTATGTCTGTGTTTCCCAAGCACTCTCCTTCTGGATGCTCTCTGCCACTGAGCAGTAGACATTCAAAAAGTCATCGACTTGCTGCTGGAAGCAAGGGAGCAATGAACAACATATCTGAGCGTTGCAAAAAGACCCCAAAAGTACAATTACATTAGCAGTTTGCAGTGGATATGTATTTAGACATGGTACTGTGTATTTCCTCATGGCAAGACAGGGACAAAGTTCTGTTACCTCCTTTCATTCACTATCAAAGACTTGATTTTCTTGAGAACAGATTGCACTTCCTCTGCATTCCCATTATGGGCTTTTATGCCTTTATCTCATATTAATCGTTCATTTGTTCAACCTGGAGAAGAGAAGGCTCCGGGCAGACCTTAGAGCAGCCTTCCAGTACCTGAAAGGAGCCTACAAGAAAGCTGGGAGGGACTTTTTACAGGGGCATGGAGTGACAGGACAAGGGGCAATGGCTTTGAACTGGAAGAGGGAAGATGAGATATCAGGAAGAGATTCTTCACAGTGAGGGTGGTGAGGCAGTGGCAGAGGTTGCCCAGAGAAGTTGTGGATGCCCCATCCCTGGAAGTGTTGAAGGTCAGGTTGGATGGGGCTTTGAGCAACCTGGTCTAGTAGAAGGTGTCCCTGCCCATGGCAGGGGGTTGGACTGGATGATCTTAAAGGTCCTTTTCAACCACACCATTCTATGATTCTATGATGGTTGGCAGGACAGAGGAGGCCTCTTGGTGACAGTCCAGTACGTAGAGTTGTCCATCTGTCTGTTTCCTGCCGTGGGCTCTGGAAGATGCTATGATTCTATGATTCTATGATTTAACTCGAAGTGAAAATATGTAGCTACCTGATATTATATCGCAATGGGAATAAATTCTTAAGAAGAACTGACTACTACAATTTTACCTAATCAACAAATGCAAAAAAAAAAAGGAATTACTGTAATTTTCATAGAAAATTATAATATAGTAAACTTCCAGCAGAGCGCACTGTGGAGCAAGGCTTGCCATAAAATAAAGGACTAAAGCAGGAATAAAGTGTTCCTATTCTATTTACAGTTTAAGCACATATTGTTTCATAGCTAGCATAGCGTATTTGCCCGTTTACCATTTTGCTTCACATTCACCCTTGTTCCAAAGCCACTCTGCTTGATCAAATAACAACAGCTACCCTGAATAAATTCCCTGCGGCTTTTCTCATCCTTCATTTTCACACTTTGTCCTGTACTGCACTTCAGGCTACATGTTCCAAAGGAAGCCACACAAGGAGAATCAAAACACTTCAGAATTTGAAGTTTCACCTATATATTTGGATCTGCCTATTCAACGCATCACTTAAATACCCACATCAAGGCATTTAAGTTTACAGAGACAGGGTCCCTCAATTTCCCTTACAGTCAATGGAAAGGGACAATAACCCTGTTAGGTTACTGAACTGCCACCCAAGACATATCTTAAGATCCTGATCTGTTCTCAGGAGGGCCTACCTTTTTCTTTTCACTTTTTTTTGTTTGGGTTGGGGGGATTTGTTGCCTACATAAAGCCCCTTAATTATGCAATTATTCCTCCTGGCTCTGCAGGGACATAAGCCCAAGAGTGCACTGCAATTAAAAGCTGCAGTAAAATCACTGCACAGGGACTGATTCCCTTTCTGCAGGTAGCGAAGCTACTGACAATAATCTACCAGTAGCAACAGAGAGACCAATGTTACTTTGTTTTTCCAAATAACAACCTTGGTTGTGAAAATTATCTAGTAAACAATCCTATCCAGGTAATTACCAAACAATGCAGAAATTCAGGTTGCAGCTGACGCAGAGTATGGCACAGTAACAATCTGATGCCAGAGTAATGCTGGTTTTGGCAGAATAATATTAATGAATTAATGGCATTCGTGAATCTTGTATCTCTTGTTCAACTGTCCCTTTTCACTAACTGAAAATGAAATTTCAATTAACACGGGTCCATGGAAATCCTACTAAAATCCAGCAACTACTATACATGACAGGAATCATGTTATGTTACTGCAATTAAGGGAGCGATGAAATCTACACTAGGTGAAGTTTCACCTCGGTGGCTGTGGTTCCAGACTGCTCGTAACACTGGTGGTGTTGAAGAAGATAATTCCCGTAGAAGCGTGGTCCTCCTCAGAAAGCACTAAATCAAGTGCCTGGGAATAAATACTGACCTCCTTCCACAGTGTAAATTCCAGAAAGGAGAAAGGGCAAGGCAGGCAGGTTGGGAGAGTTTAGCAGGAATAAGTCAGACTGAATTCTCCGGTGAAATGCTCCAGGAAAAACTGAAGCTAGGGAGATGCTCCTAGCAGCTCAGAGGTTGGTAACTACCACAACGGTTTACTGCACTGCAACAGTAGTTCTTCAAATCTGTACAACTGAAATAAATGCCTCTATTGCTAGAGATGGAAAAAAAAAAAAAACAAACCCCAAACCTGAGAGGATTATGGTGATGAGAAATAGGTTTAAGGCCACTTTTTTTTTCCAGAAGATTTTAAGACAGGACAGAAAGTTCTGCAGCCAGCCTGAGATACTGCCCTTTACCTTGCCATGTACACCACTGCTCAAGCATACGCCTTGAGATAAACTTGCTTCTGTTATTAAACATAACTACGTTCCTTAACTGCAGTCAAGGTACTGTTGCTTCATCCATATTTTCCATCTCAGAAAATGTGACATGAAAATAGATTTTTTTTTCCTGTTATGCCTGTAGTGACTAATTCTACAATAGTTCATTCATTGCCACAGAAAGTTATAACAACCCATCCAATTCTCCCGAAATAGGTGCCAAGATTTGCAGACTGTCACGTGTTGTGCCACAGGGCTGCTGCGAGACCAATAGGTTACTTCATAATTTCCTCCCACTATTTGCCTCTGGTTTTACCATCCTTTTCAGGGAAAATACAACCTCCCTGGCAGACTTCACTATTCGTCATTCGCCGCACTCCTCAGGTAGCATTTTATAAAAGTTTTGGTGACGTTCCTGTTTTTCATTTTAAATCAGCCAGTGAAACCAGGCTGATGCCAAAGTAACGGTTTTCAGAGTTATGATGACTCATTTCTGAGTTGTCATATGATTCATCAAAATGTCAGGATCTTAAAAATGCCCACGCTATATTTAATTTCCATTAAAAAAATGGTTTTAGAAATAAGGTTGAGAGAATAATAATAATAATAAATAATAATAACCGTTTTCTAAAAGTAAGTTTGAGCTCCAGAGCTCTGCTTCAGCACCTGAATTGGGTAGGGAGTTTTTGTAGTCTTCAAACACAACTCAGCTAAACGTTGTAAAAGCCTGGCCCAAAATCTGCAGTGCCATTGCCCCTGCGCCGGTCCCCTCCATCCAGGGAGCAGGGCTGGGATTCCCTGCCCGAATTTGGAGAAGGCTGCTTTTATCCAGAGCTGCGTCCAGAAGCCAGACATCATGCCAATGGTACATTCTGGAGAAATTTGGGCACTCTACAGGAGATCATTTTACCCAGAAATCCTTCACAATTAAAATGTATTTTGAAAAGAGAGGAGCAATTTGATTTAAATACTTTCCCACTCCAGGAAATAACAAGCAAGTGGTCAAGTCACTACGGGAATTCAGGTGTTTCAATATAATTCTTCAAAGAACAAACAAAATGTGAAGATACTTTCAGGAGGCAAAACAGCATTATAGGATCAGCTGCTGTCAGTGGGAGATGCTTCTCTCAGTGATATAACTTCTGCATAATTATATGTTTCTTTCTTACCTAGCCATTAAATGAACATGCTTGAGAAAATAAACCATGTAGCACATAATGATACAAAAAACCAACACAAAAACCTATGAGAAATTATGAACTTTCTCCAAACCTTCCTCATGAGATTCATTACAGCTTTTCATTACAGTTAAGCATTTTCAAGAGCAGTATTTCATTTTAAATGCAGGTTTTTGACTTTCTGTATAATATCTAGTACACAAACTCAGCTGAAAGGGAACAGTACTGTAGTACATTGTTTTTTTAAATCTTCTTTCAAGTTTTAAACTGCATCAGAGAAAAATCTGGTTCAGGGAACAAAGGAGGAAAAGGGACAGAGGGTAGATGGGAAGACAAACATCCCTTTGAGTCTGCGACATGTTGCCATTAAAGAAATCCAGCTATACCATACAGAAAACCAAGTCCAGAAATCTTGTGCCTAAGACTTCATTTGAATTTTTTATTTGGAGCCCACACAAGCCTACCAGGGCAGAAGGAGTCTGTCTATGTAAGTGGTACAGACATTACTCAGTGGTCCTACATGTGTGCAGTCATGGATTTTGGAGCATCCAGCTTTGCTTCCACACCAGGGGATGACAATGTTATCCCCGGGGAGGCTGCGGGAGCCGAGAGGGACCAGGCAGGGATGAGCAGCAGCTCTCCTCCTCCTCGGCATCAGGAGATGATGACGAACATCAGCCACAGCTATTTACCGGGTAATGCTGTTGAGGGGATGCCGCTTCCTCTTCCTTTACTTGGGCAATCTCCAGTTAACTCTCACTTCTCGGCTAGTATGATCCACAGACTTTAATTAGACTTTATTTGTCTTTATAATCAAAATACACAGGTTCTGTTGATGTAAGCAAAGAGGAAAAATACCCCTTGGATTTCGCCATACTGTGAAGGATGCTTTCAAACAAGCTTGGTTCCAAATCTCTCTCAGAAAGTATACACACTGTAAGGATTAGCCCTGTGAAGAAGCTTCTAAGGATTTTAAAAATTATTATTTATTATTATTATTTTAAAAATGGCTACGATGCACGTTCTGAAACTTATGTTAAAGTGGTTTCATTAGCAGAATTATAATCCTGCCATCTAACACTAACTGCATTTTATGAACCTCTGTGGGGTTTCTGAGCCAGTCTCATCACACACCTAGTGAAACACATTCAGGAATTTAAAAACAAGATGGTGCAGAATAAGGATGGGCATATCTTACCTCAGCAGAGTTGGCTGAATTCTGGACACCAGCAAATCCATGTCCTCCAGCTGAATCAAAAATCTATTAAAAATGTAACAGGTAAATAAATAAGCTGAACAAATAAAATCCTTTATTTCTTACCTGTGTTAGGTAAATTCTGTGAAAAAATAAAAATTAAAACTAAATGAATGAATATACATCAATCTGCTAAACCCCAGGGATCTTTTTGTACTTTTTTATCCCTTTATTCTGACCAGAAGTATTAAAGAAATACAAATCTCTATATATAGAAAAATTAAGCAAGTTTTCTCTTTCAGGCTACATGCACACTCACATTCAAATACGTATAAAAGCACTCATATCCTTGTTTTTTCCTATCTACTGTTTAGCAAGAAGATTAAAGCCATTTACCTTCAAATCATGCTGGAAGTTATAGTTTCACCCTTTGGGATACTGTTAGGTACAGCTACAAATCTCGTAATGATTTAAAGGAACTATTTCAAATCATTGTTTCTGTTTTCTACAACTTCTTACCCTACAGTTTTTCATCTCTTCTAACCGAGCAGTTAGCTTGACACTATCGACGGAAACTTTTAGCTTAGCTTTAAACACATACTTGACCTAAAACCCGCACTATTAAGTAACGAAAATAGCTGACCACTGTGTCTGCTTTGGAAGTGACGAAAGCAGACACTGAGACTTATGTTCCCCATCTGTTTTGAAAGTTTAAGTACTAGTATCTCACAAAGGTGTTAGGCTTATTAACGGAATTTTTAAAAAATCCAATAAATGGCTATGGATACAATCAGATATTTTGGTGACACAGGTTTATAAACACATGGATAGAGCTATACAGTTCATATGCAATGTCGAATAACAATACCCTCCTGAAGCGCAAATATAAATAGCATTTTTTTAACTCCTTTTGCAGTCAACAAATCACGACAACATCAAACTTACATCTGAGCTTTTTTTGTTTAGGTTTCCCTTTTCTTTTTTTTCGTACTAGCAAAAGCCTTTCAGATAAACCAAGACAACAACAAACTCTCTCTTAAAATTTCATACAAAATCCAGTTTCTGCCAATGCAAATAAAGGGCACCATTTCTGAACTTCCTCTTCCTTGTCTCACCCACAGATGTAATCAAACTATTTTATTGTTTATGATTTCTCAAAACAGTTTATCATTTAGACATAAGAAAGCAGATAAGTATTTAAGAAACTGAGGATAATGTGAGCCTAGACATCCTCCATCTGCTACAGTGCAGTTTTATTAACTGATTTGTAAAAGACTGAGCCACTTCATTAATGTTTATGAATGCCTCCCAGCATAGAAACTCTGAACCTTTTTTTTAATTAATACCATAAAATTAAACTTAAGATAAAATTACAAACTTCTCTGACACAATGATGTCCAAGAATATACCATCTAATTTTGAAGCTAGCGTACAGCAGATTAAAAAATACCAGCTCCAGTCAAATGAACTTCAATTAAATCCAAAAAAGCAAGATATTTTGAACATATTGTTTGACACAGACATCGCAGCACAAGAAGAGAAGCGAGATCCACTTCTCTGCTTAACCCAGTTTCCCAGTGGGCTGAAAGAGATGACAAGAAAGGCGGCCTCAGGCCTATTTTTGATTTTGATATACATTTATGTGCATACACACAAGATTGAGCAAGGACGTGGCTCTCTCTTCAGCCACCTTCTAGGGTCATGGGTCAGTTTTCAAGCCATACTCTTAAAAATTCCTCACTTTTCTGGGTATGAGTTATGGCCCGGTGTTATTCATAAGCAACACTCAACATTTACATTTCCTTAATTTTATCATAGGATGTTTAAATATCAAGAACCTCAGCTCATGGATGAAAATGAAGACATTTTTGGGCCAGCTGGTTGCAAGGTTTGGAATAAGGAGGGTGAGGATGTGCCAAGGCATCTCCGCCTGGGCCAAGGTTCCCTCCTCCGTGCTTGGACAAGCACTGGGAGGGCAGCAGGAGCCTCCTCTCCTTGCCACGGAAATAAGATTCTCCATCCCTGAGCTCCGCAGAATCCCCTTCACAGGCTATAAAGCATATGGGAGAACATATTACCCAGTTAAGACAGTGCAAGCTATCAGCTCTGCTGGGAACGGAGCTAAGGGGCATAAAATCCCTCCCTGAGGTCTCTTATGAATAAAGAAATAGAGGTGCAGGACTCACAGACCAGCCTCACCTGCTGGGGAACACAAGGGAAATTATGTGAAAAGGATGACCTAGAGAAAATTTCTCCTTCAGTTCCCTCTTCCATAAGACAGACTTGAGTTTTATTCTTACTCGATTTCACCCTGTGAACACAACTCGATCGATAGGCTAAAACGCCTAACAGTCACCCCAAGAAGCTTGATCCCAGTATAACACATACATAAATATTTACCTATTAAAAATACAAACCACTAGACCAGAAAATCCTGACGTGTCATTTTGCAACATTAAATCTGTTGCATCAGCTCTGGGACTACTGCAGTATGTGTACAGATAGGCTTGTTTAAGTATTCCACAAGCAGTTTTCCAGACGTGCAAGAACAGCCAGTTTTCAAGTGCTGATCATAAATTTTTGACTAATAAAATCAAAATACAAGGGCCAGGGAACAATAGGAACAAAGTCACCTAATGAACAATGCACAAAATACTGCTTTGCAGGAGAAACAGCAGACATGGGAGAGGCTGGTAAAAACAGTAATATTCTGGGTATGGGTTCCTCTCTGCCTTCTGCCTCACCATCAAGGAAGTGTCTCTGCTGTTAGTTACCTTTCTCTTTTCCCAAGGAGAAGGCAGCAAACCTTTATTTCACACTTATCTGTGTGTTTATTGAGAAAATGCAGCCTCCTGAAGTGTGGGGTTTGCACTACATATGTGCATGGGCCATTAGTTTCACAAAGAGAAGAAGACACTGTGAGATGCTGTAGTTTCATGAACAATGCAGTCCTTCAGCAGGGGCACCCAGCAGCACCTCCCCTCTCATCAAACCTGCGTCAAGACTTCACCTGCTGTATACTGGCAAAGTTTTACTGGCTTTACGAGTCAGCCGTCTACACCTACCCTCCTGCATGACAGCAGTCTTCTTCTGTTGGTTAAAATGTACTTCCAAGCAGCGTGTGTTGCTTTGAGAGGCCATGCCAAAGATGGTTGTCTTTGCAGCAGTGTCTCCTCTTTTTCCCTGGAAGACTCACCTGGGTTACTCCATATTAAATTGCAACAGTACTTCAGAGTCCCTGTCATAAGCCAGCACACACTGTGTTAAGGATTGTGCACACAGGCTATCTCCAAAGAAATCCTACTTTCAAACAGTTTGCAATATGCTAGAAGACAACCTTTGTTAGAAATTCAAACCTGATGGTCCTGTGCTGCCGATAATAACCTATCCCACTGGGTCAAAACTTCTCATTCACCAATCTTATTTATCACACCGAAACACCAAATTAGATACATACTCTTTACAAGTGATGCTCCCATTGCAAGTCTGCCACGTCTACTGAAACTGCAAAGGCAGGTTTGATGGACAGATGTCTCCTACCCCGTGCACCAACAGCACCTCGCAGGATGCGCCCCAGCAGAAACAAGCCATTCTATGCTATCCCCAGTAAATAAGACCTACCTGAGTTATGGAAGGTCGCTTTTCTTTTCCTTTTCTCGCCAATGTGTCCAGTCCTTTTAGTGAAGAAAATAAACCCTTCTTATTTCGGACCCTTTGTGACAGAGATAGGGTACGTTTCCTGAGAGCAGCTTCATCCCTGGAGCAGATCTATTTAAAGACCGAGATAGACCTTCCTATATCACTTTTGTAACAGCAAAATATTGACAGCTATTTCAACTTGAGGCATCAAATGAGAGTTACTTCAGTTCACCTCAATGTAATACGCCAAGGTGCAAGGAAAATGTTTTAAACTTTCATCAATGATGCTTGTTTTGGTACACCAATGCCATGATAGTGTAATTTTTGAGTCATGGGGCAAAATTAGAAGGTCACAGGAAGGGAGGAACTGAGAAAATATTGCTCCATATAACAAAAGAAGTTAATGAAAAGACTCTGAAGAAGAATGATAACCTATTGTTCAGATATGACATTGCTAGAGGAAGACAGACTCTCAAAATTGCCAAACACAGGCGATAATCGTGCTATGGCATTGAGTTATTAACAAGCAATGACACAAACCACACAGATAAAAACAGTGGCAGAGGGAAACACATTGAGGACTACTATTCACATTGACTTCTCATGCAGCAAATGTGGTCCATCCCTCTCTGCCAAGATCAGCCTCAAGGTTAAAGAGCGGAGGCGAACCTGCTACTGCCATACTTGCCTTGAAACCAACAGGGTGACAACAGCTTACAGCAGCTGAGGGTCTCCCTCCTTCTTCTTTGCAAACCCAACCCACAGTTCTTAAAACGTGACTTATCATTTTGGATTGTCTCTAGTTTTAGCCTATTCTAAAACTACTTCCTCTTCAGGAGGGTATCAAATTGTTTCTGAAAAATGGAGCCATATGAGACCTCCTAAAAAGATCAGCTCAGCTCAGAGTGACCTGAACCACTTCTGGAAATTTCAGTGTTAGGCTCTTTTCACTCTGAGTGACTTAGCTCCTATACACTTTAAACTCTTAATTCAGTGGATGTGAAATCACAGTGACAAAATTTCAATACAATGACTCATTTACATCTGGAGAATATTTTGGTTTGTTTCTTTTTTTAGGTATGGGTCAGAAGTATCCAATTCTGGAGTTCTTGGGGGCCAAAAAAAGTCATGGCCATATCCTCATGGTTTCAAAGTCTGTCTCTGTAGAAAAAAAATTTATTTGCAGTCAAGGAACAGGCAGAAAGGGTGAGAAGGGAAATGAGTTGTCTGAACAATGCATGTGGGTGCAGCCCTGTATTATCCCAGCACAATTCCACATCTAAGTACAATATTAACAATGGCTTTGTGTAACGCACCCACGAAAAGCGCATTTGGACTTACCAGTGCATGGAAAGATGAGACAGAGAAAATGCCGAGCCGCCCCAGTGCCAGTTTTGAAGGACGACTGGCAACAGCCAAAAGGCCCTTTGGGTTTGGGAGCTCCCCACCTTGCAAACTGGCTAGGTAACATCGCATTCGGAAAAGGTCCATATTAAATTTTTCCAGGTTCTGTTCCCATTGCTGGATCTGTTTAGATATAAAAAGGGACAATTAAAAGGGGAAAAATGTCTTTGTGGGCTGCACTGAAAATTCGAGCTCTTCCCCAAACCCATAGTAAATTACTTTCATCTGGTAGTATATGGATTAGATTAGTTATTCCCTGCCAAAACACATTCAGTCATATTGTGTTACATCAACCCAAAAGATGGCTTGAAATAAAACAAAGCTGGTGGTCTTAAATGCATACTGACAAGATGAACATACCATGAACTTGGGGTAGTTTGATGGTCGCAAAAGCAGTTACATAAAAACACAACCCTGTGGTTCACAAAGGCTTTTTTTTCCCCCCTCTCCTTCTCTCTCTCCTTTTTGGAGATCAGTTTTGTTTCCTTCATTTTTACAAGCTTAGATTGTATAGCTGGTTGGCTGAAAGCAAAGTAGCATAGCTACGCTAATGCACTGTGCAAAGCAAAGTAGCTACGCGGATAGTTCCTACTCATTCTTTACTATCATCCTGTGGCCTCTCTAGCGGTAAACAGGAGACAATATTGGCAACACAAACATGTACGGTTCTTTGGCTGACTAATAGGTTAAGACATGCTTATGCTCAGGCAAACTGCAAAAATGAGCTATATATGCCCAATACAAACCACTGGACCAAAAGCAAGAATGTATACATACCCTTCATGCAATTTTTAAACCTAACACAGGTACATGTAGATGTAACGGACAGCTTAATCCAGTTTCATTGTAAAATTAGGGAAGTGAAGAGACTCAAATATTTACTAGACGAAGTTCTGAATCAAGGTTCAGATGACAGATTTTAAGTTATTTGTGTAAATACACACTCATCTACACAAACACATACTCTTGCACACTGCACAAAAGTCAAATTTTCCTTTTCACTTCCCCAACTTGCAGATTGGCAGTTGCAGTTAAAACCTGCCCCACAGTGTACGATACACATTAATACCGATAAACAGCACAAATAAAAAGGCAGCTGTGTTTAATAGAGTGGGCACATTCACACACAGGAAGGCAGAAAAGGCACGTCTGTTAGGTTAACGTACACCAAGTTCATGTACTGAAGATTGTTAAAATCCCCTGACAATGCTGATCTTCCAATGTCAGCTCCAATCACTGCATATTGGTTGTTCAACAGGTGGTTCAGGGCTGCAGAGAAAGTTCATCACGTTTTCTCCAACGAGTATTGACTTCATACCTTTCACTGGCACGCCCTGTGTGCACAGGACGTTATCACCTTACATTGAGATTAGCCAAGCACCTTTGTGACTTAGAAAACAAGTTGATAAATATAACAAAAATCTCAGGTGAACTAGGACCTGCAGGCTCATCTAAAATCAAAATCAGTTCAGTTTCCTTATAATGCTGCCAAATATGACAAGAACTAAATAAGTATCTTGCCTCTTACTTTCAACAATGAAGAAGTGAGCAATGAAAGGGCGAAAAAGGCCCTGTTAAAAAAAACAGTGCTAAGGCTTGTACTACAACTGATAGAGACCTTACCTAGTCGAGGTTCCTTACACACGTGCTCACAAACTGTGGTATCAGTTATTGCTATACTTTTGGAAGTAAGAGGTAATCTTATTTGGTAGGTATGTTGAAGAAAGGGAAGACAACATACTATTTTGTATATCTGCGAACGCAAAATTGTAATTTACAGTACACTAAAAAAAAAAATCTTTCAAGGAATGACTATTAAAACCAAAAGACAGAATTTACAAAGGCTTATCCTGAGAGCAATTTGCAAAAATCCAGAGAAAATGAAGAGAGACATACACATAACGAAGATGCCTCACCTAATCTCTCACCACAGACATTCAAAACATGCACCCTTTGTGGCCTAGAAAGAATAATCATTTTTTCTTGGTTTTATTTGATCATTGCCCTTCATTTTGCTTTCTTTGTGCTCTCAGACACTCTTCACAGAGCATTTTTCTGTTTGCCAGTACTTTACGCATGGGATGATACCAACAGGAGGTTTCGTGATGAGCTCTTTCTCTGTCTTGAAACCCAACTAGAATGAAAACATCGTTGTCAGCTTTTCACAAAGCCAAAAGCTACATGCTCAGGTGAGGTCTTTCCCTTTGGGATGACACCTCCATGGGTACAGAGCCAAGCCAACTCTGAATAGCTCAGGAACAGAGCAAGGCTTGTTCTGTGCACTGCTGGAGTGGAGCATCCTGTCCCCACTGAGTACAAGCCGAACACAGGCATCCTTGTGTTTCTAAGGCCTTCTTCAAAATCCCCATTAAACATTTGTACTAAGTTGTATTTTAAAATAAAGATAATCTAAGAAAGGGGAGTGGGGTACAACATGAGGACATTCTGAAGAAATAATTAAATTACGGTGTTTATCAGTCACACAGGATGCTAGCTAATCAGCTCCAAAAGCATCGGTAATCACGATGTTACATTTAATGGTATTAGCAAAAGCTGTAGGCAGGGAATTTCTGGGATTGTCTTGTAGTCTTATCAAAACCAGGGATGTCTGGAACCAATCGGAGACCACGAACCACTACCAGCTGCTATTTGTCTAAGCCTTTTAACCCACGATAATTCTTCCTAAAGATTTATATTCTTGAAGACTAAACGGGGGAAGCACACAAATAAAAAAGCAACAACTTCAAAGCGCAGTATGACCTGGTCCGTGAACTTAATTTACAGCCTGCAGACTAGCTGCTGCAATCCTTACTCTGCTATTGTGCGAGGCAAATCTCTGCCCCACGTGGGAGGACTGCCTGAAAAGACAGCTCAAGGACTTAACTTCATTGTGTGCAGACAAAATGGCCCTTTTGAAACCTGCTTGAAAGCAAACAGGAAAAAGCGGATGCACCAGAGAGCCGTGAGAGCGGGAATGGGTGACAAATGCTAATGGCAGCACGAGGCGAGTCTGCAAAGAGATATGAGATATGGCCTGACGTAAGACACGTCAAAACAAGCGAGCACACGTGAAATGCTCCTCGTGTGACCTGCTCAGCTGCTGCGCCTGCCTGCATCACCAGCTACGGAGCTCATGGCAACCAAACCCATCCTCTCTCAGTCGCTGTTTCAAAACCTCCATCTGCATTTCTAGGAAAATCATTAGAAGATTTTTCCTAAAGGAAAAGGAGGATGTTATTCTCAGTATGGGCAAATGTTAGGCAAGGATTTCTGGGTTTAGTGGCAGCATGAGAGGGAGATGCCTTCATGCTTCTCCCATGCCTGGGAGAAAGGCAAGCAGGGGCCACCCAAATAAATGTATTCAGGTTAATAGGATCCCTGTAAGGTAGACAGAAGAAGCGGGCTGTGGCAGAGAGACAGAAAGGAGTAAAATGTGGGAAGCCTTAAGAATTAGGGCCATGAATTAGTTAGCCTGGGCCACCAGAACTCATGCAAGGAAGCCTGGTGCAGGGACAAGACTGCAATCACGCAAGGAGTGCTAAATGACAGGACGAGCTTTTGCATCAGAGACTTAGTTCAGGAATGAGATTTTAAGAGTTAACGTACAAAGGAACATCAGCACAGTACTTTTGGCAGTACTTTAGCAGTAACGATCATTTTCAGAACATAAATAGCCTATTCTCCTCCAGGTTAGTGAAAAATCTATTCAGACACTAAGAAACAACTGTAAATTAATTACATTTCCAATGACACAAACAGATGAGCTAAAGAAGATGCTTGAAAGCAGGTCTCTGTTAACTCAATAACCCTGCTAGGTTTTCTATAGGTAAACTCTAAAGTGAGAGCTTGGGAAAGGCAAAGGGTAAATACATTCAGAGCAGGCAATACAGACCAGTGGTTTCCAGCAGGTGACATGGGGATCCATAGTTCCTATGTGCTATACAGTTCGACTCATTTTCAAATACATGTTCTGTACAAAGTAAGAAGAGTTCAGTGTAATAAAACCCAAACCAGTATGTGAATGGTGGAAAGCAGTGCCAGAAATTACACCATTATCAACTCAAGGTAGTAATACTTCAAGGACAAAGAAGAATGGAAGAAACTTCCTGGACAACTCACCTGATAACAAAATACCAGTTTTCCACTTGGTCCTTATTTAAGGCAGCACAAAAGAAAAGATGCACAGGGACAAGGGCTTTCTTTCAGTGCCTAAGCCTATAAAACTGATTGGATTTAGTAACAGTTCTTATACCATATAGAAACACGAGCTCATCACTGACACAATTCACCATCTATAACAGTAAAAAATTCAGAATTTTCCCCTATGCAACATCTTCTTCCCAGATGGAAAGTGTCTCTGCAAGCTGATGTAGGGAACTCTATGGATTTAAAAGAAACTTCTGATGCTGTTTTATATGAACAGCTTTTCAACCACATTACAAACAACACCAAACACTTTGCATTCCAGTCCCTGGTTCTCAGACACAATTCATATTGTACCCATCTGGATAAATGAGTCACTTGGTTTCTGGGCACAAGAAAAAGATTTTTATTGTCATTACTTCCTAAAGAGAACTCGAAGAAGCAAAAACATCACTCTCCCATTCCATTACTTTAAAAGACACTACAGAGATACTGTCATAGCTTTTAGCTCAAAGAAATAAAAAAGGGAACACAATAGAGTACAACAACAATGATGTGCAATTAGTTATACCCTTTATTCTTCATTCTGCCTAGTGACTTAAAAAACGGTTATGAAAACTTCCTGAAATAACAAGTCAACAGCTTTTTTTACAATAAACACCATCTTTCTGCTTGTTTTGGAAGGACAGAATTTTCAACATTTCTAACCAAAACAGACAGAGGAAATCTTATTCCCAATACCACTGACAGCACAAGAGTGCACCCCTGTGTACCAAATTTACATTCTTGTCAGTAATCTGATTGAAATTGGCAGTACCACATTTATGTCTACAGTTAGGGATATAATTAAGGCACTGAATCTTCTTATTCAGCTGCCCCTCTCCAAAAACCCGAAGATCAGCCCTTTCTACACATGCTCCCCCAGCAGCTTCATTGTATGAGATAATGCTATGCAACTCCACATTCAGTAATAGTTTCTT